GGGTCCCTGAGGTGACTGTGCTGTGCCTCAGCGGGCCCTACTCTACGAGGAAGCTCTCTACACCATCCTGCACCGCCTGGGTCAGCCCGAGCCCAACCATGTGAAGGAGGCCTCAGAGCTGCTTCGATACCTGCAGGAGGTGAGCCCAGCCCCCACTCCGCCCGCCATCCTGCAGCCTGGACTAAGGCAGGAGTCCTCTTCCCCACCGGCCATCCCGCCCTGTGCCCTGAGTCTCTTACGCTCCCATCCCACCAGGCCTTCCACATGGGGCCCGAGGAACACCAGCAGCTGCTGCAGAAGGTCCAGAAGCTTGAGGTAACCCTGGTCCAGGACCGCCCTAGGCTAGGACAGGGGCCGGGAAGCCCAGCTCCCTCCAGGAGTCAGGCTCACCCTCCTGTCCTTCCAGAAGCCAATATTTTGTCTGAAGGCAACGGTGAAACAAGCCAAGGGCATTCTGGGCAAAGACGTCAGTGGTGAGTAGAGGGTGAGGGTCCCTGAGGGCCTTCTTGCCAACATCTTCTCCCCATCAGGCTGTCCCAGAACTGGGAGGGAGCTCCCATCTCCCAGACGTCCCCTGGGGCTCACCTGGGTGCTGCTGACCCCGGGCCCTCCGAGTGTGTGGATGGGCTGGGGCTCTGCCCCTAGGGTGATGAGGGAGTCTCCCAGGGAGCCTGGCCAACACCCTGGTGGCCTCGTCCTTCCCCCCCTTCCCCAGGATTCAGTGACCCCTACTGCCTGCTGGGCATTGAGCAGGGGGTAGGCGCGCCGGGAGGCAGCCCTGGGTCCCGGCATCGGCAGAAGGCTGTGGTGAGGCACACCATCCCGGAGGAGCAGACCCACCGCACCCAGGTCATCACCCAGACCCTCAACCCTGTCTGGGAGGAGACCTTCATCCTGTACGTGGCCCGGCCCCAGCCCCTATCCCCTCAGTGAGATCAGCGGGACTTCCTGACTCAGGGGAGGTGACTTGGCCTGACCGGAGGAGGAGCCTGCTCCCTGGGCCAGAGATAGACAGGAGGCCAGACAGGACAGAGCAGTGGCCCACGTGTGCAGGCGGGGTGTGGAGGGTTGGACTGGGTTGGTCCGGGGGGTAGGCCGAAGCCTTGCCTTAGAGGACGGAGGAGCAGTTTGCTAGGAGGGGTCGGACTGGACAGTGGCGGAGTGGGGGAGGGAGCTCCCAGGGACAGGCTCTGGTTGGCTCCGGCCCTCCAAGGCCCTCAGCCGTGCCCTTTCCTCCCTGTAGGGAGTTTGAGGACATAAGCAACTCAAGCTTCCATCTGGACATGTGGTGAGGGGCGTCCCCTGCCTGGCGGGGTCAGGGAGAGAAAGGGGGCGAGTGGGGGCGGGGTAGACCCTCCTCCCGAAGGGGTCAGGGGCTCCCAGGACACCCTCCCTGCCTCCTGCTCAGACCTTTGCCCCCCTCAGGGACCTGGATACCGTGGAGTCTGTCAGACAGAAGCTCGGGGAACTCACCGATCTGCATGGGCTGCGGAGGTGAATGCCGTGGGGAGCAGGTTCCTGGGGAGGGCGTGTGGGCCCCTCTGCCCTCCCCGTGCATGCGGGTTGTCTGCTGGGCTGCAGGCCGTGTCTGGGCCCAGGATGGGGACGGATCCCAGCCTGACCCCTCAGTGTCTTGGCCCATCCCCCTCATGGACCCTGCCTGGAACAGGATCTTTAAGGAGGCCCGGAAGGACAAAGGCCAGGATGATTTTCTGGGGAACGTGGTTCTGAGGCTACAGGTGAGTGGGGTCAGGAAAGAGGCTCAGGAGAGAGACCGAACGGGGGTTCACGAGGAGTTCAGGGGAGCGGTACTGGGTCCACACCAAGCAGGGCCTGGGGTCTCCCTCCTCTTGCCTCCTCTGCCCCCAACTGTGTGAGATTCATGCCACCCATGGGCACGGGCACCCCCTGCCCGCCCTGCCCGCCAGGACCTACGCTGCCAAGAGGATCAGTGGTACCCTCTGGAGCCCTGCACCGAGACCTACCCCGACCGCGGTCAGTGCCACCTCCAGTTCCAGCTCATTCACAAGCGGGTAGGTTGGGGGCCGGGTGCAGGGACCGTCCAGGGGCCTGCCTGGGGTGGCCGGACGGGCCGCACCGGCCGCGGGGCCCTCCACTCGCCGCCGTGCTGGCCCCGTTGCAGAGAGCCACCGCGGCCAGCCGCTCCCAGCCCAGCTACACGGTGCACCTCCACCTGCTGCAGCAACTCGTGTCCAACGAGGTCACCCAGCACCAGGTACTGCCCTCCCAGCGAACAGTGCGGGGCTGCAGCCTGCTGGATCTGGCCCCCTCCACCTGTCCCCGCAGGCAGGCAGTACCTCCTGGGACGGGTCGCTGAGTCCCCAGGCTGCTACCATCCTCTTTCTCCATGCCACATGGGAAGGACCTGTCAAGGCTTCCATCCATGGCGTGAGTGCAGCCCAGCTGAACTTCCAGGAGGTCACCTGTCCTCCTACAGGCTGGCAGCTCAAAGTCGAACCCTCGGGAGATTTCTGTTTGGCCCCACCTGTGTGTTCTAAGTTGTTTTTTTTTTTAATTTTTTTTTTCAACGTTTATTTATTTTTTAGGACAGAGAGACAGGCTGAGGCAGGGAGGGGCAGGAGAGGGAGACACAGAATGTGAGAGCAGGCTCCAGGCTCATCAGCCCAGAGCCGATCAAGAACTCCCGGACCCATGAGATGTTGACCTGGCTGTAGTAGGACAGCAACCGATAGCCACCCAAGCCCCTAAGTTGTTTTTGTTTTAAGTTTATTCCAGGGGTTCATTTGCTTGGTTGATACAGAGAGAAGCCCGAGCAAGCTCCTTGCCGTCGGCGTAGAGCCTGATGCGGGGCTCGAACTCAGATCACGACCTGAGCCGAAATCAGGAGTTGGACGCTTCTCCGGCTGAGCCGCCCAGGCGGTCTCCCTGTGTTTTCAGTTTTGAGTCAGTTGCCCACTTTTACAAATCTGGAGGTTTTCCACATGGAGTCACGTGTCCAGCGTCCCACGGACCCTAAGTGCTGTCGTTCTGCTGGGCTGTAGCTGGCCACGACGGAGCGCACGGCCTCCCCGGCCCCTCACGGCTGCCATCGGCCCATGTCACTCCCTGGCATTTGAATTCGCCACACCTGCCCCAGATCTGCAGCCCCGTCTTCCAGCACCACCACCCTTGAATCAACAGACTTGCGCGCCGGCATTACCAGATCTGTGTTGAGGGCCTGTCCCATCCCCTGTGCCCCAAGAGGTTGTGGGAACGAGGGAAGGGGCACACGCGAGTCCTCAGATGTTCCTGTGCGGGTGAGGAGTACAGAACTGGGGGCACCCCGGGCGCTGGCCAGGCCAGGAGGAATGACGGTGCCCGCTGCCCCGGGGCCACGGCTGACACTTGGCACTTGAGTAGGGGCCGGAAGGGGGCTGGGGGAGAAGGGCAGCTTGTAGGACCCTGGGCAGGTGGGTATTCCCAGGTAGGTGGACAGGGGATGTGGGTGAGGCTGGGCCTGGGAACGGACACCCACAGCGAGGGCCCAGGGTCCTGCGGGGCCCGAGCATGCAGTGCGGTGTCCCGGTCAGGACGAGGCCTGTCCCCGGGCTGCTCTTCTCTTCCGTCCTCCTTCACAGTCCCTCTTGGGCCACATTTCAGCTTGGTCATCACCTCTGTGCAGTGCCCCCTAAACTGTCTATGGGGCAGTCCCAGCTGATGTTTGGCACGTGTGCATGAAGGCTCAAGTCTCCAAATCTTTTTTTTCAAAAGAAGCAAGAAATCCTGAATTCTTATTATTTTTTTTTATATTAAATATTTTTTTTTAACGCTTATTTATTTTTGAGAAAGAGAGCACCCATGAGCAGGGGGAGGGGCAGAGAGAGAGACAGAGAATCTAAAGCCGGCTCCGCGCTGTGAGCGCAGAGCCCGACGCGGGGCTCAAACTCACAACCGTGAGATCATGACCTGAGCTGAAGTCAAGAGTCCGCCGCTTGACCGACTGAGCCAGCCAGGTGCCCCGAGATCCTGAATCTTTAAGTCACAGATATCCCAATTTGAGGAACAGATGATTCATTTACATGTTTGAAAAACAACTTGATGAGGTTGATGGGGGTCCATAGGAGGTCTCGGGGGCGGGGCACCTCGCTGTCCCTCCCCAGGGCCGGTGAGCAGCGGGAAGGACGCTGCCCCGCCTGGCGGGGCTGAGGGCTTCCTGTCCGCTGCAGGCAGTGGCTGGCCTATAGTCGTCTCTACCAGAGCCTGGAGTTCCCGAGCAGCTGCCTCCTTCACCCCATCACCAGCATCGAGTACCAGTGGATCCAGGGCCGGCTCAAGGCAGAACAGGTGGGCTGGGGTGGGATGAGGGGTGTTGGGCAGGCAGAGCTCAGGGTGCGGGAATGGCGGTCCGGGCCCCGTAAAGCAGCTCCCGACTCTGCCTGGCCCTGCAGCAAGAAGAGCTGGCTGCCTCGTTCCGCAACCTGCTGGCCTACGGCCTCTCCCTCATCAGGAGGTTCCGGTCTGTTTTCCCCCTCTCTGTCCCCGACTCCCCAGCCCGGCTGCAATCTCTTCTCAGGTCAGCGGCTACCCCTTCCCCTTCTTCAGTGAGGCCAGGAACGAGGGTGCCTGCAGGGATGCGGCAGCCTGCTGGAGATGGGAGGGGGGGGGTTACAGGGGCAGCGGGCATCCTGGACCCAGCTGTCTGTCCCCACAGGGTCCTGGTACAGATGTGCAAGATGAAGGCCTTTAGGGAGCTGTGCCCCGACAGCGCCCCCCTGCCCCGCCTGGTGACCGAGGCGCTGCGGGTATGGGTACTCACCCTGGGGACGAGGAGGGCACGTGCCTGAGCCTAGTGACCCTCCCTGCTCACCCCCTCTTTGCCCGCAGACCGGCACCGTCGAATGGTTCCACCTGAAGCAGCAGCACCATCAGCCCATGGTGCAGGTGAGGGGGCTCGGGCAGGGCGGCGGGGTGGGGTGCTCGCCCCTTGCAGCCCGGCTCAGCGCACCTCTGTCCCTGCCAGGGCATGCTGCAGGCAGGCAAGGCCTTGCTGAGCCTGGTGCAGGACATCATTGGCGACCTACACCAGTGCCAGCGCACGTGGAACAAGATCTTCCAGAAGTGAGCAGGTGGCTGGGTTGGGAGGTAGTGCGGCGGGGGCTCAGAAGAGGGACCAGAAGGACCCCTGTGTGTGCCACCAGGTCACACCTGTCGCCTTCCTTCCAGTGCCCTCAAGGTCAACCTCTTCTCCATGGCTTTCCTGGAGCTTCAGTGGCTGGTGAGTCTCGCCCCGCGTCTCTGGGCCGTGCCCTCTACCCTGGCTCTGGAGCCCTGTCCCCACGCCTTCCCTTCGCAGGTGGCCAAGCGGGTACAGGACCACACGGCGGCGGTGGCGGGCAGCCCCGTGTCCCCGGAGGTGGGCGAGAGTCTATTCCAGCTCTATGTCAGCCTCAAGGAGCTCTGCCAGCTGGGCCCAGTCCCCGCAGAGAGGTGGGCAGTGGCGGGTCAGCACAAAAGAGAGAGGAGGGCTGAGGAGAGGCTCCCAGGCTGAGCCCCGGCCCTCCCCAGGGATGGCGTCCTGGCCCTGGATGGCTTTCACCGCTGGTTCCAGCCCGCCGTCCCCTCCTGGCTGCAGAAGACATACAGTGTGGCCCTGGCGCGGGTGCAGCGCGCTGTGCAGATGGATGAGGTGGGGGCGGGGCCCGAGATCAGGGATGGGGTCCCAGCTTTGGGGGTGGGGCTCGGGGCTCTGCTTGTACCTCCAGGATGTGCAGAAGCTGGTAACCGGCTCTTGAAGCCAGTTGTGCAAAACGCCGCCTCCTGATATCCTTGGTGTAAAGCGTGGCTTTCCTTCACGGACTGATCTGTGCAGCCGGGGGATCCCTGGGTGGGGAGCGTCGCTCGCACCCCTGGTAGTCCACCCCCACCCCCCACCCCGCCCCGTCCTGCATGCTTGCGGAAGGAAGGAGGGAGGGAGGGGCAGGAATCTGGCAAGGCCTGAGCCTTCCTTTCTGCACCCTCTCCCATCCCCCAGTTGGTGCCCCTGGGTGAACTGACCAAGCACAGCACATCAGCCGTGGATCTGTCCACCTGTTTCGCCCAGATCAGCCATACTGCCCGGCAGCTGGACTGGCCCGACCCAGAGGAGGCCTTCATGATCACCGTCAAGTTTGTGGAGGTGCGGCGTCTTCGTGGGTCCTTCCCCTCCTTTCTAGGACAGCCCCATTTCACTCACCCTCTTTCTCCCCAGCTCCTCCTGCCCCAGCAGCCTCCGAGGCCTGTGTCTTAAGTCCCCAAGTCACCGAGATTTCCGTGCCTCTCCACATTGACCCCCTCGTGGGCTCCCCCTGCATTGATCCTCCTCTCCCCACCCCAGGATACCTGTCGGCTGGCCCTGGTGTACTGCAGCCTCATAAAGGCCCGGGCCCGGGAGCTCTCTGCAGGCCAGAAGGACCAGGGCCAGGCGGCCAACATGGTAAGGGCCGGACCTGGGTGTCGGGGACCGGGGTGGGGGTAGGGGCTGCCAGTCCCAGCACAACTCCGGAAGCTCTGCCTCCTGCGCCCGTGCCTGCCCTCAGCTATGCGTGGTGGTGAACGACATGGAGCAGCTGCGGCTGGTGATCGGCAAGCTGCCCACCCAGCTGGCATGGGAGGCGCTGGAACAGCGGGTAGGGGCTGTGCTGGAGCAGGGGCAGCTGCAGAACACGCTGTATGCCCAGCTGCAGGGCGCGCTGGCCGGGCTGGGCCACGAGATCCGCACTGGCGTCCGCACCCTGGCCGAGCAGGTACCTTGTCTGATCCGCAGGGCCCCCCGCCCCCCCGCCCCCCACCGGACTTGGGCTGACGTCCGGCCCCTACCCCTTCCCGAACCTAAACCCAGGCTCCAAGTGGCCTCGCCCCGTCCTCCCCACACTCACGCCCTGGTCTCCCTCCTGCTTTGTGTCCCCAGCTGGAGGTGGGCATTGCCAAGCACATCCAGAAGCTCGTGAGTGTCAAGGAGTCTGTCCTGCCTGAGGATGTGAGTGGCCCTCCCTGCTCAGCTTTGCCAAAGGGGCTTAGGGTGGCAGGGAGCTGAAGTCGGTGGGATGTCAGCGATGAGTCCCCCAGACTTGGGCCAGAAATGTTCCCTCCTGGACCTCGGTTTCCTCCTTGGATGCTAAGGGGGCAGGGTTGGGTCATTCCACAGACTCTCCCAGCATCAGTGTGGGGACTGCAGTCAGGGAGAGCTTGGACTTTGCAGCCAGACAGATCTGGGCGTGCATCCTTCTCAGCTCCTGTTTGCACAAGCCAGCTGATTCGAGCATCCTCACCTGTCAGGGGGCACAGTGATGCGTACCTTTGGTTGTTTGGGAGACGCTGACTCATTAAGTCATCAACTATTGAAGCACTCACTCTGTCCCAGGCACTGATTTAGGCACTGGGATATATATCAATGAACAAAAATTACGAAAAGTCCGCCCTTCCTAGAGCTTACATTCTGGTAGGGGACGTGGAAGAGCCAAGTACATGTATGTAACTAAAACTATACGTACGTGTGTGTGTGTGCGTGCACACACATGGCATGTTAGATAATAAGTGCTAGAGAAAATGGAGATATTTTTAGACAGTGGCTGGAGAAAGCCTTCCTCAAGGGTGACAGCTGAGCCCAGACCTAAAGGAAGCCAGAGAAGGAGCCATGAGGATTTCCAGGGGAGGGAACGGCAAAGGCCAGGGCCCCGAGCCAGGACCGTGCGTACAGGAGGCCAGTGTGGCTGGAGCCGGCTGTGGGCAGGGGTCAGCTCCTGCAGGTGTCCCAAAGCAAGTGCACAAAAGCTCCCGGTCCTGTTTGCCCTTCCGAGTCAGGGCATGGGAATGGGCCAGAACCAGACGTGCTGCCCACCCCTCTCCCCAGGCCATTCTGCCCCTGATGAAGTTTCTGGAAGTGAAGCTCTGCTACATGAACACCAACTTGGTGCAGGAGAACTTCAACAGGTCTGCGGCAGCCTCCCGCCCTGCGGCGCCCCACCGCCTCCCACCAGCCCCTCTTTCCCGGCCTCAGCATCCATTCTCAGGGGAGGATGCAACCAGCCTCTGCTTCAAGGCTCACCTCCAGGGACAGGGGGCTCACTTCCTCACACACTTGCCCATTTCCCTTTAGGCTGAGCAGAAAGCTGCCTTCTCCTTTAGCCGTGGGCTGTCTGTGGGCCTTGCTGGCTCATCTCCCCTCCTAACGTTACAGGCAATGGGTATTCTCCCATGATTCAGGGGAACTTCTAGTTAGGGTGCCTTTAAAAAAATTGTTTTTAATGTTTATTTTTGAGAGAGGGAGAGAGAGAGAGAGAGAGAGAGAGAGACAGGCAGAGTGTGAGCAGGGGAGGGGCCGAGTGAGAGGGAGACATAGTATCCAAAGCAGGCTCCAGGCTCTCCACACAGAGCCTGATGTGGGGCTTGAACCCACGAATGGTGAGATCAGATCATGACCTAAGCCGAAATCGGGCACTTAACCGACTGAGCCTCCCAGGTGCCCCTAGTTAGGGTCTCTCTTCGAGCAGGGGCCTGGGCAGCATGGCTAGAAGTCAAGGGTGTGGGCCCCAGCCCACCTGAATTCAGACTCTAGCTTTGCTGTTGCTCGGTGGGCAGAGTGCACAGATTACTCAAGTTTTCCGTGCAGATGATCATAGTTCTGGCCTTTAATGAGGACCAAGTGAGTCACGTGGGGTGTCGAATGTAGCGCCTGTGCAAAGGAAGTGGTTGGCGCGCTGCAGACCGATGGCCGTGGGTCCTCCCCATGGGATCCGGGCTCTGAGGCTGCTGCCCGTGCCCCCCGCGTACCACTCCTGGTGCAGCGGCCCCCGGGAAGCCCGCCTTCTTCATTTCTCAGGCCACAACATGCCATTTGTTCAGCTGAAACAGAGTTAAATCCCCACTCCAGGGATTTCACTCACTGCTGTCTCAACAGCCATTAGAACATTGTCTGGGGCATAATAAGCACCCAAATATGTTGGCTACATTAACTACCTTTAATTAGTATGACCTTCCCTGTTCTTAATTACACAACCCAATTTTTTTTTTTTTTTTGTACTTAACTGCCTGAATCTACTTTGGCGTGTCAAAATTCAGTTCTTTCAGGGAGTTAGTAGGACTGTGGCTTGGTTGCTATTTTTTTCTCCTGACAGTTTATCCATCCTTATCCATGCTGGAATCTTCTTCATTCTGGCCACTCCTCTACTGAATCCTGATTCTGTCACTGGGGGACCAGCCTCCCCTCCCCACCTTGTTTGTTGGGGTTTGATAATCCTACTGAGCAGGCTTCTCTGCTAGGTTATGAGACACATTGGTTGGGACTGGCCCCGCCCAGCTGCCCCCCCACCCCTTGTCCTCCCTGCCCCACTCCTGCCTGTGGCTCCAGCCCTACCTGAGAAGAGGGTAGAAGTGGAGGGTGGGGGTGGGGAGGAGCTGGGGGTGGGTCTGGGTTCCTTTCTCAAGAGTGTCTCTGCTTCCTCCCCTTCCACCCTCCTATCCTGTGACTGATGTCTCTCTGCACCTCACCCCAGCCTTCTGACCCTGCTCTGGACCCACACGCTCACCGTCCTGGTGGAAGTGGCCGCCTCCCAGCGGAGCTGCCCCCTGGCCTCTAGCAGGCTGAAGATTGCACTTCAGGTAATAATAGCAGTGACCACAAATAATCCTGGTGGGAGGCTGCCTGGGGTCACCTCTGATGTCTCACCCCCTAGAATCTGGAGATCTGCTTCTACGCAGAGGGCTGTGGCCTGCCACCTGAGGCCCTGCACACAGCCACCTTCCAGGTAGGGGTCTTTTGGTGAGCTGGTTGGGTGGGGGGGACACCTGCCTTTCTGTGCTCACCTGTGTCATCACGGATGGGGCCCAGCACGAAAAGAAAATGTGAGCCCCCTTTTCAGAAATTATTGAAAATTTAAAGGCAGCCACAGCAGAGCTTTGGTGTTTTAAAGCGAGCATCAGGTTTTTTAAGCATGGTGAGGGGGTGGCTGTGCCACTGCAGGGGGAGCACGCCTGTGAAGCCCACCCTGTCTGTCCTGAGGGTGCGTTCTGCGGTCGGAGGTTCTGGAACGCCCAGTGCTTTCCATATCAAACTGACATCCCCTCTTGGCGGCAAGTTCCCCAAGGGCAGCCCTGGGCTGCGGTTGAGTGTGACAGTTCAGGTGACTTCTCAGCTGTGCCCCGTTCCCAGGCTCTGCAGAAAGACCTGGAGCTGCAGGCCGCTTCTAGCAGGGAGCTCATCCAGAAGTACTTTTGCAGCCGGATCCAGCAGCAGGTGAGGCTCTTTTCCTCCCTTGCACTCCCTGTGTCCCTGGAGCCCCGCCTCCACTCTGCCCCAGCCGACACTGCCCATGCGCCCCACCCTTATTAGGCAGAAGCGGCTTCTGAGGAGCTAGGGGCGGTCACAGTCAAAGTCTCCTACCGCGCCTCTGAACAGAAGCTGCGTGTGGAACTGCTCAGCGCCTCCAGCCTGCTGCCCCTGGACTCCAATGGTGAGTGCAGGCTGTCCACTGGCCGCTTCCGAGTCTTTGCTCAGGCCCCCTTCCCCCGCGTCTCTGGCAGTTCTCTCCCGAGCGGGAGCACTGTGTGCAGTTTCTGCAGATCGCCAGGAGGGGGCAATGCTGCCGAACAGGGCACTGCTGCGGGGGCCTGGACGAGGCAGGGAGCTGGGGTATCCTTGGCAACGTGGCCTCCCCAGGTGACCTCCTCACTTGTCAGGCTCCAGCGACCCCTTTGTCCAACTGACCTTGGAGCCCAGGCACGAGTTCCCTGAGCTGGCCCCCCGGGAGACCCAAAAGCACAAGAAGGACCTTCACCCCCTGTTTGATGAGACCTTTGAATTGTGAGTGGGTCCCTGTACCTGCCACCCTTCCCTAGCCCCGGACCTCCCTCGGGCCTGCTCCTCCCACCTGAGGCCGATTGGCTCCCCTGAGATGACCGCATTTGGGTCCCACGGAGGGGCACCTGGCACAGGGGTTTGCTAGGACCCCGGGAGGAGGAGCAGGACTGGAGGGGAAGACCCCCACCTGTTGGGCTGAGAGGCTTTTGCTTCCAGGGAAGGTCTGGGGACAGAGGCCCTTGCTTTCAAGTATCAGCCCACAGAGGAGGAGTTAGGACATACTAGGCTGAGAACTGGCTTTGCGATCCTAACTCCCACCTGTCTGCCCTCAGCCCTGTCCTGTCCTCAAGATCTAGGGGCGAACTGTGTGCGCGGGTGGGTGCCAGTGACCGTGGGGTGGGGGAGCAGGCAGCTGAGCCCCACTCTGTCTCCCACTCAGCCTGGTGCCTGCTGAGCCGTGCCGGAAGGACGGAGCTTGCCTCCTGCTCACGGTGCTGGACCATGACACGCTGGGGGCTGATGACTTGGAAGGGGAGGCCTTTCTGCCACTACGCTCAGTGCCGGGCCTGACTGGGACGGAGGAGCCTGGCGAGGTGCCTCAGACCCGTCTGCCCCTCACCTACCCTGCGCTCAACGGTAGGCCTGAGCCCCAGGGCAGAGGCTGTGAGGCTTCGGGTGCAGGGCCAGGCCCAGCACTGGGGGTGCAGGGGAAGGGCAGCCTGTAAAACCTCAGGCAGTGGCCCCCAGGGAAGCAAATGAAGTCGGGGTCAGAGAAATCCCTCCTTGGATGTGGAAGCCAGTGGAGTCTGCGTGGTGGCTCCTGCTGAGTAGATAGCTCAGTCTAATCAAGAGACCAGGGAAATTTGTTAGCCCAAGTGTGGTGGGACCCTCTAGTGGAGGAAGGTCACTAACAGGCTTACTTGGGGAGAGGGCCTGAGTGTCTCTGACCAGGGGGCACAGCCCAAGCATCCTCCAGGCTGGATAGTAAGAATAGGTCACATGTCCAAGCACTTACGAGCCACTTTTAAGCACCTGACGCATATTAACTCTCAATCCTACAACCACCCAGTGTGGCAGGTGGTATTGCTGTTTTACAGATAAGTAAACTGAGGCACAAAGAGGCCGACTCCCTAGCCTAAGGTTCTCATGCAAAAAGGCAAGAGTTGCAGCCTGAAACGCACCTCAGCCTCTTCCAATGCAGTTGGGTCCTTGTCTGTGCCAGTGCGGTTGTGCTAGGGGATAACCTCAGGCTGTCTTGTGAGCTTGGCTGGTGTGTGTCCATCACTAGTTTTCAGGATGGCTGGGGAACGGGTCAGTGCTGTGACCCCCACCACTAGCCAGGCACTGCTTACCCCCACCCCCGGCGCCGCAGGCTGACCCCCAAACGCCTCTCTTCGCAGGGGATCCTATCCTGCAGCTGCTGGAGAGCCGGAAGGGTGATCGGGAGGCCCAGGTGTTTGTGAGGCTGCGGAGGCAGCGAGCCAAGCAGGCCTCCCAGCATGCCCCAAAGCCAGGGCGGTAGCAGTGGAGGTTGGGGAGGGGGCTGGGTGCCTGCAAGATCTGGGTTCTCCCCACCAGCCTGGCCTAACAGTCCGCAAGGGCCCTGCAAGTCTGGGGAACCCCGGTGTGCGGAAGGCCCGGAGTGTGGATCCTCTCTGGTCCTCCCACCAGAGGGGCCCGGGGCCCCTGTGGTATTTATACTCCCTCCCCCTGTCTCCAGCCCTGGCCTCAGCATTCTCTACCAAATTTCAGCACCAGGGGGAGGGGGCAGCTGTCTGCATCTCTGGCCCTCGCTCTCCTGTTGGGAAGTGCTGCTCTGGCAGAGCTGTCTCCCTGCGTTTCTGGCCTGCCTATTCCAGTCACTGGGGTGGGGGGCTAGGCTCCCTGGGGCCTGCTCTTTAGCTCTCCTTCCCTGGTTCGCTGGGGCTACCGCTGCCCTGAGAGGGAGGGTGGCTCCTCTCCTGAGGCGGCTACTGGGAACCTTCTGGCTCTGAAGAGGTGAGAACTGGCAGGCAGTGGGGCTGGCACAGAGGAACAGGAAGGACAGCCTGGCCAACTGTGTCTACTGTGGACCCCTCCCTGGGACAGTACCTGCCACTTAGAAACTTTCTTAGCAAAAATAAAAAACCAAAAACAACTCATTGTCCTCTAAGGAACTATGCTGTTGCCCTGCATCGGGGTCCAGGAGATTACAGTCAGGCCCTGCAATCCCCCTCCTCAGCCTTCAGGAGACCTTGAGCTGTCCCCCCACCTGTGGCCCACTCGGCCCCTCACTTCACATTATAGAGCAGGGAGATGTGGGAGTAACTGATGTTCAAACAAAACACTACCAGGCATATCCGTGTGTGCGGTTGCTGCCTAGCACAAGGGCCTGATGCTCCCAAGGGGAGCACCATAAGTGGGGGTCTCCCAGGAGTTCAGTTGTGTGTCTATTCAAGGGCTGAGAGGAATGGAGTTGCAGCCTGGCCTGGGGGGGGACGTGGCCCCTATGCTGAGAGAGCCCAAGGCCGGGTTGTCCTATCTAGCTGTGTGACCCTCTCTGAGCCCACACAAGTATGATGGGGGAGGGTGGTGAAGGGGGTCAGTTGAGATCATCCAAGGCTCCTTTCAGCTCTGAACCTGAGATCCATACAGAGAGCCCATTAGCTGTGTTTCTTCACAGCTACCTACTAGGCCAGCTAAGAGCAGGGGGAGGAAAGAGGTGGCTCAAAGGCTGGGACCCTCAACCTTCCTTTTAGTGCTTTTGAGAGAAGACAGTCCTCCTCCTCTGAGAAACTACTAGGGGCCCTGTTTTCTTTTGCAAAACAGTAAGTGAATGGGTCCCAGCTGATGGGGCATAAGCTCTTTCTATAGCCCAGGTGGGGCTGGATCTCCCTCACCCTCATGTAAACAGGCTACCACTGTTAAGTTCATATTTTATTTCCAATAGGTTTGGAGCTTTGTTGATTTTTGCATTTTTGTAAAAAAAAAAAAGTTTTCACTTAATTCATTGAAAGCCCTTTCGTGCTGAGCCCAAGGAGAGCCTGGTCCAGGCCAGACCCTTCACAGCCCTCTTGCTCCCACCCCAGACCCCCAGCGCTGGGAGCAGGGTGGCTTCCCTCCACCCGCTCTGCCCTCCCGCACCCACTGCATCTTTCTGTACAGAACAATTTTTAAAATGGAAGCTAAGACACAATATACATCGGACAGGCACGCACACACATGTACACAGGCGTCTGCTCCAAATGGGCAGGACGTCAGCTGCACTCAGAGAGCACCAAGGAATGCATACGGAGCCCCTCCCGGTGAGGAGGGCAGGGCCTGAGCCCTACCTTGGTCCTCAGTCCGTAGCTCCTCCCCACCAATTGCCC